GAAACCCAGGCTGTAGTGACAGGGCAGGGGAGCTGCTAAGGGCTGGTGGGTATAAGGGGTGGCCCAAGCTGTGTGTGGCATCTTTGCTGTGGCCACAGGACATCTGGCCACAGCATAAGAGGCTGTCCTTGGCTTCTGTCCCCAAAGCCTCGGATTTGAAGGAGAGCAGCCCAAGCTATCTACTGTGAGGGCAGAGAGTGATGCTAGGAGCTTGGGGGACAGAGGTGAGGGTCTGACAGCAGGGCCTGGTTGGGCACCTCTGCCCCTTCTTGGTTCCTCCCCAACTCCTGGTGGCTTTCAGGATGGAGTGGACAGCTGCTGCCTGGAAGTACCCATACGTTCCCGATGGACTGAGGTGGTGGGGGGAGGGGGCCATGGAGCCCAAGGAGGGTCAGGATAGGAGGGCCTCACAGGCTGACCGTAGAGGGTCCAGAAGTGGGGGTCCCTGGATGGCAAAGCCAAGGAGGTGGAGCTGTCTCCTGGGAAGGCTGAAAGCATTTGGGTGGAAGAGGGACTTTGGTGATCGTAGGGTGGTTAGGAGATGGGGGAAGACAGGTATGAGGTTAATGAGAGGCTGTGTGGCTGAACGTTGGCTGTCTGGGGGTCTGAGTGCTTACTGGAGGGCAAGAAGAAGTATGGGGAGCTACATCCAGCCTGCAAGCTGTACTGGAAGACCATGGTGTGGTGCTGTTGGGGTCCTGCTGGCACAGAAGAGAGTGGACACACAAACCCATTCCCACTGTGAGGAGTGCACCCCTTTGTCCACTGGATGGATAGTTATGGGATATGGCTATTTAAAGAAGTGCCACATCTCTCCCAGCATTAGTGACAGAGCAGCATATAAGTCCCCAACTCTGGGGTGTTTACCTACCAGCCAGAGAGACAAAACTAAACAAAATGTAAGTAAATGTAATCTTGGAAAATAACAGAGGTCAATGATAGAGGGCCAAGGTTGGAGATGAGTGAGCCAGGGCTTCTTGGAGGAGGTGACCCAGGGAAACTGAAAGGTGAGACCACAGGGGAGACCCGGGGAGCCTCCAGGCCTGGACAGAGGCAGGCTGGCCACCCTACCACTGACTGCCAGCCAGTGGTGGTCAGAAGACCAGCACCAGACTCTGTTGGGACGGGGGAGAGCCTGACTGACCTTTAGGAGGGGTCAGAGATGTCTGGTGTTAGCTCTGTGAAGTGGGGCCCCCCGCTCTGTGTGCATTCGAGGGCAAGCATCCTGTTAGGGTGGAGTAAAGGCTGGACCACAGAGACTGTCCCTAACCACCAGGCTCCAGGGCCACATGGACAGAACAGGAGTGTGAGGAGGGCGTGAGGCAGGGGTTGAAGCCTCTGGGAAGCTGCAGCCACTGCTTGCTGGGTGGGTCTGGAATGTGAAGACAAAAGGTGACACAGAGCTAGATTGGTCCCTGGGGTAAAGCTGGACTGGAATGGGGGGAGTTGAGGTCAACCAGATCCAGGTGCCCTGTAATGGGGGGCACGGCAGGTGGTCCTAGGGAAACTCAGGGTGGTGCAGGTACACAATAGATGGACATCTTGGAGGAGCTCTGTCTCCCTCTTGGCCAGGTGGGGAGTCTAGCCACCCCAGGGAGAAGCCTGTGGCAGCACCCCGTCACAATCCCACCCACTCCCCCAAAGGACCCCGCAGCCCAGCTCTGTCCCTGGTCTGGCCTCTGCTCCTGCCGGGGATGGCAACTATCCTGCTGTTGGGCCTTGGGCCACTATGAAGAATGGCCTCCCTGGAACCCTCAGATCTTCCCCAGGATTGCACACAGCATCCCTGTCTCCCACCACTGCCATAGCTCACCTGGGCCCTCAGGGCTCCCTGCTTTGCAGTGCCTTCCTTCCCACATCTCAGCCTCTGAAGTCCTGCCCACTGACTTTGGTTGGCTTTTGGTTTCATCTGTTTTTGTTTAAGAAATGTATTGTTTACCTCAGGAGGTAGAGATAGGAGGATAGAGGTTGGAGGCCAGTCCAGGCAAGAGTTAGCAAGACCCTGTTTCAGAAGCAAGCCAGCCATGGTGACAAACTTCTACAATCCTAGCTACTCAGGGGGCCAAGGCTGGAGGATCATAGTCTGAGGCCAGCCCAGGCAAAAGTTGTTCAAGACGCTATCTGGAAAATAACTAAAGCAAAGAAGGGCGGGAATGGTAGCGTGTCTGCTTAGCAAGAGCTGTTAGATAAAAGTGATTAAGAAGTCTTTGCCCCTCCACCTGCGCCCACGGTTTTATTTTACAATTTATTTTTTCTGATCTTTTTTACTTCCTGGTGTAACGAGACATTTGGGCTGCTCTGTGCACCTCCTGCCTAGCTCCTGCCATCATCATGAGTCCTGGAAACTCAATCCCTTCGGCAGGGGACAGTCTGAGAGACCCGGGCCTGGCGCTCCTGGCTGCAGACAATTAGGTGCCCACACCCGATTCCTCGCCCACCTAAGCCCCTCTTCCCTTGCTCCCCAATGGCCACAGTTTTGGAAGCTGGTTCCTGTGTGCCTCCTCCACTTCTCCCCTTCCTGACCAGGGCCTAGCAAGGGCCACTTGGGATGTCTGTGGCTGTGTCCTCCTTGACCTTCAACCTCTGGCCTCCATGGGGCCTTTCTCACCCCTCCTGTCTCCTGCCTCCTCCTCTACTCTGCTTAGCACATCTGCTCCTCTCAAGCTCAGGCCATCCCAATCAGCCCCACTTTTAGCCTTTCCTCCTAGACCTCCCCACCTGCCTCAACCAACACCTGGCCTCCTCTGGAGCCCTGAAGATGACAGCTAGGGCTCCCTAGCTCCCTCAGCCACTGAGTTCTGGGACTCTACCCATGTCTCCACCTGCCCAGGTGACAGTGGTGGCTTCCATCCCCCAGTCTTGCCTCCTTGCTGCCTGTTTCTACCTGCTGAGTCTTGGAGTTGCTCATTCAGGCTTCCTGCCATGTGAACGCACAACCTTCCCATGGAGTGACCCCAAGGGGGTGGGGTTGAGCCACAACCTCACACAGGTCACTTGGGATGGTCTGTTTTGTTTTGCGTGGGCCTTTTTTACTTCATTCATTAGGAAATGATGCCCATAAATCTGCTATCCCACCCAAGAATTGTAATGTACCCCAAATTTATATCAACTGTGGGCTCCCACTCATTCTGCTCCTGCTCCCCCCGCCCCAGATAGTCACTATGTGGAGAACCGTATCTGATGTTCCCTTGCCAAGCAGGTGCTCTTACCACATGAGCCGCTCTGCCAGCCCCGATGTTCCCTTGCTTTAAAAAAAAATAATAATTTCTCACAGTGTAGCTCCCTCAACCAGATGACACGGAGCCTTGCCTGTCAGGAGTGAGGTCTGCAGTCCCCTTCCTCTTGTGTTCCACAGATCTCTGATGCCCTGTGTACTTAGATGGAGCCCAGCTCAGCTCCTGGTGACCACAGTCCTTGGAGAGCCCTTTTGTCTCCATGGCTCCATGCTCTGGCCACAGTCTTCTTGAAGTCACCATCAGTGTACCTGCTTGACTCTGCACAGAACACATCTGGGCCCAGAACACCTGGGTCCCTCAGGCTCAGGGTCCCACTCTCCTTTGGCCCTCCTTTGAGACATCACCTTGCAAGACCCTCAACCCCAGGCTGTCGTGCGCCCCACTTAATGTTCTGAGGGTGTAAAGACCTGTGCCTCACCACATGGCCCCAGCACAGGGTTCTCCACATCTGTGCCCACCTGGCTCTAAGCTGCCCTGCCTGAACTTGCTGCTCAGCCCCACGGTGAAGAGAGGCTTTTTCCCCAGAGGCCTGGCCTTGCCCTATGGGAGGCAGACCAGACCAGCCAGAAGGCCCAGGGCAAAGGCTCCACCTTCAGGGTCTCCAAACTGGAAAGGCCTTCAGGAGCTGTTGAAAGGAGCACAGTGGACCCCAAAACCCCAAGGCTGGCGTGGGATGAGGAGCTGTCCACAGCAAAGGCCATCCTGCCATCAATTGATGCTATGCAGCCATGGCTGACCTGCAGCTGCCCTTCCTGCCTCCCGGGCCCCAGAAGGTTAAATGCAGGGAACTCAAAGGCAAAGGCAGAGCTTTGAGGAGGCAGCTCCCCTGGGATCCCCACCAAAGACCTGAGCACAGGGATCTGCAAGAGCCCATGGCACCATCTCACACAGAGGAAGGCCAACTTCACAGCCTCAGTGTGAGAGCTCTTGGGCCTGTTAGGGACATTATCCTTCTTGGGGTTACGGCCTGGAGCTAAACAGGTCAGAAATGACAGACCAAGATGGGACCAGGCCTGGTGTTTGAGGCCAGAGAGCCTGGTCAGTGGCCCAGCTCTGAAGCCATGTACTAAACCAGCCCAAGTGCTGTGTCCCCTAGTGTGATGAGGAGTGTCATGCCTAGTGACACTAGTGACACTAGTGGTGAGGACCAAGATGAACCCCCCTGAGCTCAGCCTCCACCTCTCCTTCCTCCCAACTCAATGCCCCCGGAGACAATGGATGCAGCAAGGTGGGGGATAGCTGCCTATCCTAAAGCGACATGGGATGGGTCTCTGGAGTCAGAACCTGGGAACAGCAGTCCAGGGTATCCAAGGAAGCTCCCACTCCCAGCCTTAGGGGGGACACTGAGAAGGGGCAGCCTAGAAGGAATAGGGACTGCCCATGCCTGATCTCCTGCCATTCAGAGTGAGTCTCCCTGGAGCCCTGTACAGGGTCCTTGATTGACTGTGCCAACAGCAAAAGAGCAAATAACTCCCACTGAGACATGGCTGGGCCCCATATCCATCTCTCTCCAGGCCCTGAGGTGTTGGGGTGGACATGTCCAGAGTGAGCCTGGGACATCTGGAAGCTGCTGTTGACCGTGCCCACAAGCCCCAGGGTGGATTCCAGGTAGGGCTCCCTGAGTTGCTTCTCCAAGTCTGACATCCCCTGGGCCCCTGGGCCCTCTCCCCACCACCGCAGCTTTCTCACAAGCAGCTGGCCATGCTGCAGGGTCACTGCTGATGGACCCCAGAACAGCCAGGCAGAGCCACACCAGACCAGTCATGGGGATGCAATTCCTTTATTGACCACTGAGATCAGGCCAGGCCCTCCTGGGCTTGGGCTGTAGGGTGGGCATTTCCCCAGTGTGCTCTGCTGAGTGCTGGATGCTTGGGGCTGGGGCAGGGGTCGTGAGCAGCCCTAAGACTCGGATTCAAACATCTTCTTACGTCCCTCCATGCCAGATTTCTCCTCGATGTTCTTCCTCCAGTCACCCACGTCGCGCAGGTCCCGCTCCTGAGGGTAGGGGCCAGAGAGGCCTCAGCTCACACTTGCCCACCCACAGACCACCCGTGGCTTTTGTTTCCCTTCTAGAAATGGGGCACTGGCGCCCCGTCTCCCCAGTGCGGCCCGGGGGCAGGGTGCAGGGTGGTGGTCGCCTGACGGGGAGTCAGGGCCTACCTTCTCCGTGTCCTCCTTCTTGACCTGTTTCAGGTTCGCCCTCAGATCCATGCACACTTTGTGCTTGGAGCCCAGCAGTGCCTTTAGCATGGCGTCGGCTGACATGCGTACCCGACGCAGCGGGGGCCTCTTGAACTTGCCCCTCAGGTCAAACAGCTTCTGGTTCATGTCTTCCAGCTGGGGGGAGGGAGCTGGTGGGTGGGTGGACACCCAGCAGCCCCATGTCCCCTGGTCCCACCACCACGTCACCTGACTCTGCCCCTCTCACCTCCTTGCTGCTCTTCTGCACCTTCACCTCCATGTCGTACTTCTCCTCTTCCGCAGCATCGATCTTAGCGTGCAGTTGTTTGCAGAGCTCCTGGGGTGGACGGGCAGCGGGTGGGCAACCATCCTGACTCCCGAGTGCCAGGGGGGCCCGCCCCTACCCTGACCACTCTGGCTTGCCCTCTCCCAAGGAACAGGAAAGCAAATGAGGCCATGGGAGTGCTGGCTGTGGGGAGCTGGTACCTGCACTTCAGACATGGAGCCAGGGATGTGCAGGGGCGGGCAGTGTTCGGACAGGTAGTTCTGCTTCTCATTCTCGCGACGGCTCTCCTCCTTCTCCAGTTCTGTGGCCGCAATCTGGAGCATCACACTCTGCAGGGTGGGGCAGAGAGGGCGTGAGGGGCTGCAAGGAGCCCTCCCCACTCCCCAGCAGCACCCCTGCAGCCCACACCTACCTTCAGATGCTGTCTCCGGGCCGTAATAGCCCTGTTACGCTTCTGCAGGGCAGGTAGAAGGGACAGAGTCAGGCTGCAGCTCGAGCCACCCACCCAGGGGATCCTTCCAGGAGCCATCCAGGCCAGGGGCTCCTTCCTGGAGCTCCCGAGGAGGCCATGGTGTACCCCTGCGCAGGACCCCGCTGCCCTAGCCCAGGGCCTGCTCTAAGGACACAGTGTCTATGACCCTGACATTTTACCCAGGTATCATACAGCATTGGAAAGGGGTAAAGAGGTTTGGGAGGAAGAAGAAGGAGGGGGGTGGGGAGACCATGGGGAAGGGAAGCTAGGGAGGTGAGTGGGGAGCAAAAAATCAGAAAGAAGAAGTGATCCCCTGTGACCAGGCCCAGCCCCACTTCCCCTACCCATGAGGCACTGGGAGGTCACTTCCTCTTTCACCAGCACCTAGGTGAGTAGGACACTTTTGAGAGGCGGGTTTTCCCTGGGCCTCAGGACCTTGAAGCTCTGCCCTCTGACCTTTCCCAATAGGACCCCGTCCCTGCAGTTTCTTGCCCCCACACAATACTCACCTCCTCACTGTCCAGAAAGAAGGGGCAGAGCGGGGAAGAGAAGGGAAAGGTTAGGCCATGGCTGGTGGGAGTAGTGTGATGGGGCAAAGGAGTGGGTAGTGTCCGGGGAGGGCAGGCAGGGACCACCACTGGGGAGATACCAGGACCCCCACACAAGGGAGGGGATGGTGGGATGGTGGGGGCCCCGTACTGGGTGCCACTTACTCCCCCATCCTGAGGTCTTGAGCTTAAAGCCTGTGGGGAGAGAGAGGCAGCGGTGTCAGGACCCGTTCCACACGAGGCTGGCCCCCAACAGGCTGGCCCCCAGCAGAGATTGAGGACCGCAGGCTCCCAGCTCACTTACCCTGCCCCCCAACTCCACCCCCTTAGAGGGCAAGGTCCTAAAGGAATTCCCCAAGGGGAGAAGTAAGAGGAGAAAGTGTTCCCAGAATGTCCAAGGCGGGGCCCAAGGAGCTGCAGCTGTCCCCGAGGGAGGGGTGGGATGGGTCAGCAGGTGGCTGCCAGAACCATGCTGTTATTTTTAACTCTACTCCTTTAGCTTCGGACCTAAATATATGGAGGAGAACCCTCCCCAGTGTGGCCTGGGGGCTCAGGTCCTGTCTTGCTTAACCTGTCAGTTTTCCTGCCAGTGACCCCAGAGTTGAGATCTGTTCATCAGGGGCCTGTCCAACACCCAGGCCTCATCCTAGCCACCTCCATGAGTGTCTGCTGCCTCTCGCTCCCAGCTCCATGGAAGCCCCCTAAGAGACATACTGGCAGCAGCCCCCAGGCCCCAAGACTTGGCCCCAGGAAGCCTTCCTGCAAGCTAGCTTGGGTAATGCCTGTCCTCCCACCTCAAGGGCCAGGGCTGGACCTCACCTAGGGTCTGTGCAGCAGGGCTGGGAGCGAGGTCAGGCCGGCAGTGGAGAGTTAGGCTGGTGGGCCAAGGGGGAGGGGTATAAATGGCCTCCCCCAGTCTGGGCCCCTGCTCAGAAAGGGCATAGAGTCCTCCTCAGACCAATGGGGGCACAGAGAGCCCGAGAGACCTCCCCACCTGCCCAGGCTGCCTGGTCTGACCCAGCCCCGGCACTTGCCTGTCCAAGAAGTCTTTGGGGGGGTGTGGTTTGGTTGCTCTATTTAGGTCTCAGTGACAAGTCTACGATACTACTCTTGTTCTTGTGAGGAGCCTAGGGACACTGAGCATGGCCTTATGTGAGAGCTTCAGAGAGTCACCTGGCTCAGACATCAGCCCAAGGCTTACTCCTCAGGGAACCTGTCCTACATCAGCCTGCCTTACTCTGAGTCAATGTCAAATATGTCCTCCTTGTGCAGCTGCCCTAGCTCTGAGCCTACCTTGCCCCTCACTGCCTGCTGGGTACCTACTGTCTGCGTGGGCACCATGGTTGACTGTTCCCACGTCAGCCTCAGGTCACCTCTTCAGACAGAGCTAGCCATGTGCCTCCCTTCTGCAAGCCCAGCCCCAGGTAGGAGCTGGACCCCCAAACTCAGCCTTCTAGGTCCTGCAAAGTGGCTGGTCTGGGCCCAGGAAGGGGTGCCTTCCCCTCTGCATGACCCTGCCTTCCCGCCTAGGGAGCTGGAGCAGGATGGGCCCCCTGAACGAGCAGCTGGGCCACTCCCAGCCTGCCACAACACCCTGCCCGCGGGCACCTTCGCACGGGAACTTGAAACACGTCCTTCAACCCCAGGATCATGGCGCCATCACTCTGGGAACCTCTCTCTGACCGTGGGGGCTTGGGGCCCCTTGGCCGCCCGGGCAAGCCCCGTATTGCCCATCTCACCCGGGCGGGGGCCCTTGCCCCTCACCCGCCCCTGTAGGCCCCGCCCTGCAAAGGCACCCTGATCATGACTTGGCACCCTCTCTGAACTGTGGGGTGCTAGGCCCCAGCCCTGCCGGGCGCCCCGGCCTGTGGGGATCAGAGGAGGTTTGGAGTCGCTAAAGCCATCCAGATGTGAGGGGACGGGAGGTACATCCCCAGCCAGGGCTGCACCCCTAGAGGCCCCAAAGCAGCTTCCAAAGGCATCTGCTGCCCCCTGCTGCTCACATGGGGAGGCCCTGCACTACTGGCCCCCAAAGGTTATTGGGGGTCTCCTTCCTCCACTGCCCCCACTTACAATGCCCACTGTGTCTTTGCAGGGCTTGCTCTAGTCTCCTCGCCCCCTGCCAACTCTAGCTGACCAGATGGGAAATTCCCACCTGGGGTGGGGGGAACCTGTGCCTCCTACAGGAGTCAGACCTTGTTCAGAGGCTCAGGGCCTCTAAGGTGGAGAGACCACCCCTGCCACACTCTTGAGAGGCCATGGTGCTGAAAGTGAAGCCTCACCCTGTGCCTGTGCACCCCCGCCCCGAACTCCATCAGGACACACGTGGTGGATGTGAGAAAGCCTTTATTACACAGGGTTCTGCTGGGCAATCTGAACAAGAACCATGCTGTGCCTGGGGAAACCGAGGCCCGTGATGCTTTCAAGAGCGAGGCACAGGCAGATGCAGACGGGGCTTCAGGGCCAGGACACGGTCTACCTCCCCAGCGGGCTGCAGGCGGTGCCACTGGGCGATGGGCCGCCGGGCATGGGCCAGCATGTCTGCCCAGTGCTGTAGAGGCTGGCCGGAAGCCCGGGGACCTAGCAGCACCTTGCCCAGTGGCTCAGCCTGGAGCTGCAGACCACGGGCCCAGACGGCTAGCACCAGGTCCACACTCTCAGAGACAGGCCAGCGTGGGGAAGAGAAAGCACAGTCAGTTTAGCCCTTCATTAGGTCCTGCCCCACTCACCCGCTTTTATCCAGCTGCCCACCTGGATCTGGCTGAAGGGCACCAGGAAGGTGAAGGCCTCGTTGAAATAAGGGCTGACTGTGCCCTTCTTGACAGAGGTCGCCTTCTTCTTCCACTTCCTCCGGTTCAGCATGAGCTGGACTTTCACGTAGGTGTCTGGGCAGACAAGGGAGGAAGGAAGGGTTAGAGGGTCGAGCTCAAGGCCCTCTGTCAATCCTAGTAGACAAGGGTGTCTCACCTGTCAACTCTGTACTCAGGCCTCGGGCCTCCAGCACAACTACAGTCAGGCGGCCTGAGCTGGGCACGTACCGGAGAGAAAAGCACAGCTCCCCTGTTGGCTCAGGCTGTGGGCAGCAAGAAGGGGTTCCAGCCTTGCCTGGGAGAGGTTAACCTCCACAGCCGCACCCCTTGTGCCTCGGAATCCCCATGGCACAAGGACAGGGCCCCTGCCATCTCTGCCTTGGGCTGCAGCCAATGGCCTCACCTCAGTGGTGCCAGGTGGACCCAGCTGGTACCAACGCTCTACAACGTGCTGTGGATCCACAGTGCCCAGCGGCAGGCAGAGCTCCCCCAGCGGCTCGTGCTCTGAGAAGCGCTTGAAGTCCAGCAGACGTACATGCAGGGTTGTTCTGGCCAGCTCTGCCTGTGGGACCTGTGGACAGGGCTGTGAGCCGGGTCCTGCTGCCCTGTCCCAGGCTCACCCAGCCGCCCTGGCCCAGACTCACAGGGAAGCAGCAGGTCTCTTCAAACACAGGGGAGAGTGTGCCGCGGTGCACCTTTGTCTCAAGCCTGTGCCCAGCTTGGGTGGAGATGCTGACACGGGCATATGGGTCTGCCGTGCCCTCTGCCCGTAGGTCCATGGCCTGCTTCACGCCCACCTTGATCTGGGGGCCAGCAGGTAAATTCAGCTAAGGGATCCAGGCGGCCCCCACCTCATTCATCTCCCCCTCCATTAGCCACAGAGCCTCTTGGCCTGCCAGGTGACCCTCACCTCCTGACTTCCAAAGTCATACTCCAGCAAGAGCAGCAGGCGTCCCCACTGTCCAGGGCCCCCAGAGCTGGGCTCCAGATTATCCACATCTGGCTGCACCTGGATGGGTAGGGAGGGACAGAGCAGACAGTGTTGGTGAGACTGTCCCCCCAAGAGTCCTTGGCTCCCAGGTTCCATGATGTGGGTCCAGCCACCCACCTCCAGGCCAGGCCAGGCCATCATCAGCTGTGCCCCAGGATTCAAGCCAGACCACTCTCACTTTTGCTCATTCATTTCCCCTGCTAGGAAGGCCTGCCTGGGCTGCCCTGAGCTCTGAGCCTGGACCTTGCATTGTCCTGTCTGGAGTGAGCCAGCCCGGGGCTGGACACAGGGGAGGCTCTGGTAGCTGCTCCTCACCAGGTGGGTGGTGGTGCTGCTGCTTCTGGTGCTGCCCAGGCCCACAGCCTCCTTGCCTTTGGGCTGCTTCCTGTGGCGCCGGCGCCCGCGGCAACAGCAACAGATGGCACAGAGCAGACAGGAGACAGTGAGAATGCCCACAGCCAGAGCGATGGCAACGAGTGCCCAGCGGGGCCCTGGAGTGGGAGCACGGGAGGCTGAGATGCTTCTGTGGACAACTTCAGTTCCCACCGAGCCGGGCCCATCCGCACACCCACCTCAGGGGCTACTTGAACTCACAGTGGATCCTGGTGATGATCCCGGTCATAGCTGTGGTGCCAACTGGGGCCAGAGTGCTGTGTGGACCTGGTGCATGGCCCATGTTCCTGTCTTGCTGGACTGCAGGAGATAGCCAAGAGGTCAAGTAACCTGGGGGATGGCCCCTCAGGCCCCTGCCTGCTGCCCCATCCACCCAGCAGCCAGGGCTGAGTCTGCCTGGGCAAGGAGGCAGCTTGGGGTGGCCAGGCCAGGGCAAGGGTTCTAAACTCAGAAGCCAAAGAGAGGGAGGCGCTGGTCCTTGGCCAAAGCACCAGCTTAGCTGCCACATGCCCAGCCTCCTGGCCGCCTCCCTCAGCCCCCAGCCCCAGCCAAGCAGGCCAGGCCTGGGCAGGGTGTCCTCTGCACTTACTGGCCCTTGCTAACACAATCCCTTCTCCCCCATTGCAGGAAGCCCCCTATCTCCCTGTACCTGGACCCTGGGATCTTCCTGGGGACGCATCTCATCTTCGGGGGGAGGGGGCTTGTCAGGTGGAGAAGCAATCACATCCTCACCTCAAAGTCCACCCCAGTCGGTAAGCATGTTTACAATTGAACCTGTTCCCTGTGACCCAAGGTCCAGGAATGCTTGGGGCTCTGAGGGGTCATGGAGGAGGAGGCTGGGGGTCCCGGAAATGAGGCTTCCTGCAGGTGGACGCATGTTTGAGCAAGCCTGGGCTGAAGGCACTTTGCTGGCATGGGCGCCAGGCCAGCAGCGCCTGGGGATGAGGGTGAGGTGGGGGCAGGCAGGGGCAGGGCGTAGCTGGGAGGGCCAGAACATTCCTCCACACTGACTCACTGCCCGCCCGGACTCGCTACCTGCCTGCCCGGCCACCTTGGCATGTGGGTGGGAAGGGGGCGGCAGTTTAGCTGCCCTGGCCACTGCACCTCACCTGCCTGGGGCCTGGGGAAGGAGTGTACCTGGCTGGGCTGGCTCCTCCCACCCGTGAGCAAGTTAGGGGCTGGAGGCCTCTGTGACCCCAGACCCAGGGGACACTTTTCAGCTCAACTCTTCCCCAACTGTCCCGGGGGGGCAGCTGCCAGCCAGGAGTTGCTTCCTACAACTTGGGGCTTCCCCAACTGTGTCTACAAGTGCCTGTGACCTCTCCTGCCATGGCTGAGCCCACACTGGCTGTAGGAGCCCAAACCAGGCTGTCCTTCTAAAGATGGCTAGTTGTTGGGCTGGATCCCCAACCCCTGCACTAGAAGCCTGGTGTAGAACGTGGTAGAGAAGAGAGGGACCCCATCTTGAATCCAGAGACCCCACACACACACACACACACAGCACCAACAACCCACTGTCCCATGGCTGGGGAGAGGCAGGTGGCCCCACAGCCACTTACCTCTCAGAGGTCAGAGGAGGGAGTACAGCTCGGGGAGATGGAGGGCCCAGGTTTCCTGCCTCCTATGCTTCTCTCCAGGCCTTACGTACTTTAGCCCTGTGAGGTTTCTGGGGGGGAGATTTTGAAGCTGCATGTTCCTGGGGCAGAAGGGCAGGGCCTGGGGTGTTAGAGATACCCATGAGGGACGCAGAAAGGAGAGGGTGCTGGCTGGCGGTCCCACAGAGAGCAGCACAATGCTGAGTTGAAGGCCTCTTGAAATTGGAAAAGGCAGGAAGAAGCTGCAGAGGGTCCTACAGCGTCCCTAGAACGGAACGGCCCGGCCAGACTCAAACAGGCCCGGCTCCGGCTGTGGCATTCAAGGCCACCTTTCCCACTTTGAAATGTCATGCATTCTGGGATGAAAGTGATTTTGTTTGAGATGTTTATGGCTGTGAGTTCAGGATAAGTTGTCAACAGTCTCCATCTGTGTGTGCACTTGTATGTCTGTGGCTGGCAGAGGAGGGTCTGTCTCTCCCTGTGCCCCTGCTTGACTGGAATTCTCTCTCCCCCTTGGTCTGAGAACAGGGGGGACAGAGGCAGGGTGGCCCTGAAACCATGACTTGGTGCTACAGGTCTTGGGGGGAGGCAGTTCCTGGGTGACCTGGTGAAGCTTATCTGCAAAGCACCAGAGAGGCTTTCTGGAAGCTGGCCCTGGAGATTCCTGGGACTCTTGGGGACACCAGCTGCTGGCAATGAAAGATCCCAAGGCTCAAGGAGTACAGGGTCCCTCAGGACCACCAGGTTCCCATGGTGGTGAAGGTTTGGGTCAGCATGCAGCCACCAGGTGGCGCCATCAACACCACTGGTCCCTGCCAAAGGGCAGAGTCCAGCCTCCATACTGGTGCTTCTGGGGAAAGTGCCCAACAGCCCTGGGCAGGAGAGACATAGCCCCAGAAGGCTCTCTGGTTCCCACTTCCCACCCCAGGGACTCTCAGCCATCCTTGCCAGGACAGCCTCGACCACATCCACCCTGGGGAGACAGGCAGTACTTCCTGCTGTCTACCTTCAGTGGTCTAGCTTTGTGCCCACGGAAGAGCCTCTATAGATGTCAGCACTGTCTGGCCTAGGAAATGGAGATGGGTGTTCTTCCCCAGATCAAGTCCTCCACCCCTGGGCTCCCTTCCTGGTCACCATCTCCTCACCCTTGCTCTCCCTCCTGGGCAGGACAGCTGGTTTAGCACTACACTGCCACGCTTGCCCTATTCTTCCCTCCACATCCTGCTCACCCTTCATAGGCCTGTGTGAGCCCTGCCTCCTCCAGGGAGTCCTCCAGGCCCCCTGGTCTTGTGCCAGATGCTACCCTGTGGTTTCTCCCAGTTCTAAACTCAGCAGAGCAGCACTGGGTCTCCTCCTTTGCATTCCCTGCCCGCTCTGGGCCAGGTACCCCAATACGTACGAGTTAGGCCTGCTACCCCATTCCCCCGCCCCTCAGCCTAACTGGAACTTGTCCTTCAATGGCACCAAATTTCTGTGGGCTCTTCCTCTGGAAGAACAAGATTCCCAAGTGTGGGAGGCAGCACCCCATCTCACCTGATGCCCACCGTTTCCTGGGGCCAGTTGGCCTCAGACCTTCCTGTCAGACCCTGGCCAGCAAGAGTCCAGTCCTGCTCTGGGATACACTTGGAGCCCGCGGCCGGAGCCTGGTGTTTGCTCTGTCTGTAGTGATTAGGAGTCTCAGTAGGAAGGAAGGGGTGTGAGAAGGAAGGGGTGTGGGAGGCAGGGCTCCGGGGAGCCCCACCTCATGGCTGGACCTGTTGGCCCTTAGGAACTAGGAAACTCCCTTGGGGAGGAAGGTCCCTCTAAATCCTAGGGTCAGGTGTTTGGACTCCAGGCTATTTCCAGGGGTCTCTCAAGACTGGGGATTTCCTGACCCTACCACACTTTGCAAGAGAGGTCAATGGGCCCATTGGACTAACCTCTGTGAGGGGTAGACTTGGCCTGCACAGGTTGAGCTCACCATGCTAGCCCCTGAGTCACAGGCTGCTTGGTTGGGGGAGCACACCTCCTGGCAGTACTGGCTTCCCAAACCAAGAGTAAGGAAGGTGGGACTAGGCCGGGGCAGCTTCAAGGTGCTGCTGGATTGATCCACTCTCTTGTGTTCTTGGTCTCCCAATGGACAGCCCCTCATCCAGGGGGGCTGTAAGCCGGCGAGCCTGAGTCCTACACAGTACTGTCTAAATGTCAGTATTGGTCACTTCAGTTGGCCCAACCAGGGCTTGCCATCCAAGCTCCCCGACTGTGCTCTGGCCAGTTGATCTGGTCTGGTCACTCCAGGGCCCAGGCCAGGGTATCTCACCAATCCCTTATCTGCGGCTGCACCAGGGGTGGGACTGGTTAATGCTTAACAAGGCCAGGTGGAAGGGCTAACCAGGCAGGACTGTCAGAGATGGCCCAAGCTCAAGGATGCTCTAGGGCCATGGCAAGTGGAATATGGGTGTCCACATGTGCTGCTCAGGTGTGGCTCCAGGCACTGGGAACACGCACACACACACTCCATCCAGTGGATGGGTCTGTCCCCTGGTGTGACTAAGCCAGGATGGGAGGGGGCTTAGAAGTAACTAGAACCAGAGGGACCAGGAACACCCCAACATAGTCTGGGGCCAACACGGCACCTCAGCGTGCAGGCGCCGGGGCTTTGGGGAACACCAAGCCTAGTGCACAGCTGAGGTACGTGCTCCGTGAGCAGCTCCCCCAACCCGGCTGTGTAGGGGCTTTGTGCCTCCCCAGAATAAGGGCGCCTCCACGGCGAGACGGCGTCTGAGGTTCCAGGCAGGAAAGAGAAAACCAAACAGAGCTGGCAGCCCCCGGCCAGCCCCACGGCCCCGAGACAGCGGCTTGGCAGCCTGCAGCCCCATGGAGACCCTGGCGGGGCTCCTGGACAGGGATGCTTCCTTTGAGGACGCCTGGGGAATGTTTGAGGTCGGAACACACGGCAGGCACTGGCCAGGGAGCTGTGAGCTGCTGGCGCAGACGCGGGAGACGTGCTGGGTCAGCGATGTGCCGCCTGCCCGCGCTGACCCCGCCGTGCCCCCGTCATCTGGGGCCTGGGATGGCCAAGGATGGGTGCGGAGCCTGCCACAGTCCTGTGTGATTTGGGGGTCCTGTGCCCACTCTCTGTGTCCTAGCCTGTGTGTTCCCCGAGGCACCTTTGACTCAGATTGCCTATGCCCTCTCCCCCGAGGGAAGTTGTACCCCATCACCAGGGCACTGTGGGATGCTGTGCTCCAGCATCCGTGCACCTGGGAAGGCTGTACCTTATCACCCAAGCAGGGGAAGATACTGGTCCACCACCCAGGCACCAGGGGAGGCCAGGGACACCTTATGTCCTGAACATTCACACCTGGTTTTCCAGGGTTGTGAGTCCCACTACCTTTGGTATCTGGGTGAGCCCCTCCACCCCCATCATCATTACACGGAGCCCACTCACTGAGTAGCTGGGGTCTTTGTGCGGCTCCCCCTCCATTTGCTGCATTTCTCAAGAGCCTAGGGGACCTGGGTTCCAGGACCTCATTCCTCTGCAGTTTTGTGAGGGTCCCTTTTAGTCCAGGGGAATGCTGGAGTCAGTATCTTCACCTGAGTACCTACGTAGCTGGGTGACCTGCTTCCCTTTAATGAGGGAACAGGGACTCTGTGTTCTGTGGTCACCAGGGTTCTGGACAGCCCGTACCCAACTTGTTGGGCCCAGTGAATTGCCTATTGACACATCGCACGTGGGCCTATGAGCCGGGCCCAGGGCCGGGGGCCTCGCTCCTGTGGTTTTGGACGCCCTGTACTCAGTCCTTCGCACTGCTGTGTGTGTCTCATTCACCCTTGTCTCAGCTCTCTGTGTGCCATTCATTCGTGCGCTGGGCTGCCTGCCCACCCCAAGCCGCCCAGGTGTCTGGACTCTGTACCTGCACCCGGATGAGCCTCGCCTCGCCCAGGAGCTGATGGATGGCTGGATTCCATGGCCGGCGGGCCTGGGGTCTGGTCTCTGCATCGCATTAGTCTTAGTGTCTGGTCCTGATGCCCCATTGTTCTGAATAGCTGATCTCTGCATTTCACTAGTCTGAGTTTCTGGATTCCTGTATCTATAATCTGAGTACCTGGACCCCCCAACACACCCCACTTGCTGCAGAGCTGAGCTTTTCAGTCTTGACATCTCCATCCTGGCTCCTCCTATGTCCTCTGACTTGCAGGCTGCTCTTGGGGCTCTGTCACCCCACTCCCCAGAGAATCTGGTAGCTTCTCTATCACCCTTCATTAGATTCCTGAACCCTTCTCACCTGAATACCTGGGTGACTTAGACACTGGAGACCTGGAACCCAGTGAGTCTGAGAGTCCAGCGTCAGAATGTCCGGGTTCCAAGAGCCCTGCTCTGTGAGACTGGGCTTCTTGCACCCTTCTGTCTGAGGGCTGCACACCCAATCTCCAGCCCTCTCAGCATGAGCCAGCTGGTTCCTAGTTCCCATGCTTCTGTGTGATGTGCACCCCAAATCCTCAGTGACCTGAGTAACTGCATATATCTGCACAGGTGCACCTGATCACTTGAGGCTGGACACAGCTCTGCCCCCTCCCCCTGCAGAGCTAGGGGCTGGGCATCTCTCCCTGGTGACTTCCCTCTGGATGAGTGGACAGCTTGTCCTCATCCTTGGCCTGTGTGCAACCTGGATCCTCTTCCTGGGAACCACACCAGACCACACCAGAGCTAAGGTCTGCTTTTCTGAAGGTCCGCGAGTCCTCTCCTCACTCCCCAGAACATGTAGGTGACAAGGACTTTGCGCATCACCCCGCAGGTCCTCTGTGCCCTAGTTTCCAGAGTCTCAGGCTGGCCCACCACATCACGCAAGGGCCAGTGTGCCAAGCTCTGAATTGAATGCCGGCTGCCATGTACCCCACTTCAAGGCCCATGTCCTCCTCTTCTCATTGCCTGAGGTTTTGGACAGCTTGTCCCCACTTCATCAGGGGCTCTGGCCGCCTACCCTTCCCACCCCACCCCCGCCTGTCTCTCTCTTTATCCCATGTCCCAGGGCAAGGGCCATGGTGCCAGTTCCAAGCTCCACTGCATCTTGGATGCCCATTGCTCCTTTATCATCCACTGCTATCACATCTCGCCTGAGTCACACTGGTCTTTGTCTCAGCATCCCTGAGTCCTATTCATTGGCTGCTTCACCCTCCAAGCACCCAGAGGCTCAGACCCCCTCCCGGGAGGGATGTGAACCCCATTACCCCAAGGATCTAGGTTAGTGGGGTCACCTTATAACTATGAACACCAACACACCCAAGCACCTGGGCAGCACATCCTTCAAATGTGAGTGTTTAAGCAGTATACTGGAATCAGGGTCCCGTACCTTGAACCTCATTCTGAGTCCCCAAGTCAGGTACACCTATGAACCTAAGCCCTGTTCCCTGTCCCTCGGGGTCTCTTGGCGGCATGAGCCCTCAGCCATTCATCCCAGACCTCACGTAGGCCCACATCCCAGGTCGAGGCTCCCAGGTGGCCAGTTCCAAGCTCCACTGCGTCTTTGGATGCCCCAAGCCCATTCAGGGGTGTCTATGCCCCGGTGAACCCATTCATCCCTGTCTCAGGGACTCTGTGCCCTATTCATGTGCGGCTCTGGGCAGTCTGCACCCCGTCCGCCCCCGTTTCAGAGACAGTCTGTGCATTGTCACCCCCGTTCCAGGAACAGCTGCCGGGCAGCCAGCAGGCACATTCCGGGGTTTGGCCGGAAGCCAACGCAAACCCTAGTGCTGTTGGTGCTAGCAAGAAGGCAGGCGTGGGACTGGTTGAGGGGAGGGCTGACATGGAGGGAGAGTGGGGACCCTCAGTTTGGGGGCATGCGATCAAAGCCTTCCCTATACACACGGTGTCCTCCAGCCAAGGGGACGTTGGGAAGCCAAGCCCTCCCCGTGACAGAAACATGTCCTGGACTGGCTGCCAGCAGGAGCGGCTGTATGCACAAGGTGGGAGGAAGGTTCCAGATCCCTCCACTGTGGCAGCCATTTCCTGACCAGGCTGCCCCAGCCAGCTGCCCACCCACTGACTGCCCAGCCAGGAAGGGGGGCCACCCACTACCAGACTTGTCAACCTCAGCAGGGTCCTGGGCCGGAGGGGGGGGGAGGTGGGTGGTGGGGTCTCACCTCTGAATCCACAGACCTCTGTCCCTCTCCAGCCCTGATGGGGACTCTTGGTGCCCAAAGGGCCACAGGGAGGTGGTTATCTGGCTCCTTCACCCTGCCCACCCAGGCTTTCTGCAGGATGGCCACTGGCTAGGCGCCCCATCCCCAGGCTACTTGCTCCTCGGAGGTCACAGGGTGAAGAAGAATAAGCGTGTGATCCTCTTATGCTCCACAGATTGCTGGGTCACATGGGCTTCTCCCCAGCTTTCTAGAATCCCCTGTGTAAGTGAGGAGCAGGGCTCCCCCTTCCAGGATCCTACAAGACTAATGAACTGGTCCAGGCTCTCCAAGGATGTGAGGGGCCCCCACATTCTCTGGGTGTGTGTAAGGGGGGGCCATCCACATTCCCTGGAAGTGATGGTTATCCACGTTCTCTAGGTGTGAGGGGGTCATCCATATTCCCCGGGTGGGGGACCATCCACGTTCTCCTAGGTGTGAGAGAGGCAGTCCAGGCTATCTTGTGGGGTTGGGAAGAGTTGGTCAGTG